ATTCTGGGAGGTACTCTGAACAGTAGTGATGTACACATGTAATGTATGACTGACATAAAGTCACCGTGCCTACGAAGTCCTGGATTGTTGTGCTGCTATGTACTTTAGGTCCTTTAGGTGTATTATTTATCGCGTGCTTATGACTTGAACGTGAGGGAGCAATGTTTCAAGTACTTGACATTCTGTGAGAAGAGGGTTCAAGTCGAAGCAAGTCCAAGATCCAAGAACTGTGATTGCGCAATCTCGGACGAGAGATGGGTTTTGGCGGAGGGCGCTCCAAGTACACCTAGACGCCAATTAAAGTGGACCAGACTTGAATCAAGACTGCCAAGATGATTGCAAAGGAAGTTGGAGCAACCCCAACAGAAAACCTTCAATAAGACCGCTGAAGCCCGTCCCTAGAGTCAAGAATGCTGACTAAAGACATCAGACAGTCAGACATCCCTTTTTGGTCGCTTGACATGTCTTCCGTCTTATCGACATCTCCGCGGTCCACCCATTGTGCTTTTGCCGTGAAAGCTTGGTCCGGAGCCTCTACATCAGGAGTGCTAGTGATGGGCCTAAAGACAGCGCTTTGCAGGGAACAGCTATAAATTTAGTGAAGAACATAATACTCATTTGTGTTGGATTTAAATTTTAGACTCTATTAGACATGATACCAGTACCACTTAGAGATCTCAGCGAGGAGTTTTCATGTCACAGCTCCATTTGAGGCAATATTCTCGCATGTCTCGCATTGCTTCAAACTTGGGTGGCGTCATTGACGCGATGTGGGGCAAGATGATGCTACAGGGCGATGCCAACGCATTGAGATGTTGCTTAGCACTGTCGCAGAAGATCCGCGGAATCATGGCAGCCTTTCCGAAGGATGTGCCTGTCATTAGCAGCCATCCGATTGTTGGGAACATGGCTGTGGCCTGCGGATTCAAGAACGTCATCAACTTGATTTTTGACAACTATCCACAGCAGCTTGCTTCAGATCCAGAATATGATGATAGAATATATTAAGATTCTTTCAACTCGGGCGATCCATACTCCAGCAACTGCCTTTGGGAGTAGAAATAGAGGTTTGCGTGCGACACCAGCACCTTGCTTGGAGTGTTCAGCGAAAGCTGTTTTGACTTGCCCAAGGTATTTTGTTTTGGTGCCCGGCGCAATCAATTTAGTGCAGTCACCTTCTTACTTTGACAAGCTCCTGGATATGGGATGCCCATCAAGTAGCCTTCGCTTAGCAGGTCATTGGGTGTCTCGGCTTGTTGAAGACAGGACCTTTCTCACGTTTGCAGTAGGATTGACCAATATTGACCATGCGGGCTATGAGTGGAATGGAATGGAACGGAATGGAATGGAATGGAAATGACCATGGTATTTGCATTCATTTGCTTGGTACACGAAGGATTGTGTGAGCCGGCTTTCTGTGCACGCAGTAGAGGTTGTTACAAGAGCTTTTCAGGTGTCTAGTGACCTTGTCCTGAATGCCATTCCCGACAGCAAGGACAGGGTGTTTTGTTGCAAAATGTTGCAAACACTCAGAAGAGAGGCATCGGAAGAGGAAGGTCATGAGCTTCGGAAAGAGGTGGACCTGATCCCTTTGCCAGGCACGGCTGAGTCGCCTGGAAAAGAAGCTGCCACGTCGTTTCCTGATTGCTGTGGGTGGTGCTGGAGCTCAACGTGCATTTTTGGAAGGGCTCTTGCAAGGCACGGGAAGTTCCCTTCTGTTTTGAAAGAAACATCAGCTTCTTCAGAGCTGCAACCAAGAGCTTTGGTTCCAAGAGCTCAGATGGTTGACTGTGGCGTTTCTTGTTGAGAATGAGGTATTGCCGACCTTCTGCGAGAGAAGCGCGCCCTGACTGATGATTTGGCTGCTCATACTGTTCATACTATTCCACTGTGGAGCTGTGCTTTCACTGCTGTGTGCCATCTAAAGTTTTGGAGCTCATCGGGACAGGATGGTCAGATAGTCCAAGAGAATACTGCCACTCATCCAATCCTCATTTTGTGAGATACTTAGTCGGCCTTCAAGGCAGACGGGTTTTGGGCCTTCTGAGGCATTCGGATATATTTGAATTGTGGAGATCATGGACACATCGCAGATGCAGTCTCGGCAAAGCTGCAGGCGGGGGGGGTTGCCAAAGAGAATGCCCAAAGATCCTATGCTTTTGGAATATTTACAGTAGGATGGCATCGCTGGCCGACATCTTGATATATCCGCGCATCATCTTGTGAGGCTTTGTCCTTGGACTGGACAGAAGTCACCACCAATGAAGGGACCGTCGAACTCTGCAAGAAAGAGGCCTTGGCAAAATTGGAGGAGCCGGCAGATTGGAAGGCGGGCAGATTGTCAGTCTCTGCCAGCGCCGCATCTCACCCATTCTCAACCGAATGCTGACAACGTTTGAGAACAGGTCAGCAGAGGTCAGCCCTATGAAGGTTGCAAGTTGCAAGTTTGGGCATGTGAAGAAGGGTAAGGGGTAGACAGCTACTTAAGCTACTAGTATGGACGCAGGATAGCTCACGCTTCAAGTAAGCTCCCTACGCCTGAGTGCCGGGGGTGAGCTTTCAGGGAGGGAGAGGTTTGTTTAGAGGACAGGGCCCATGATCCACTTAAAGAATCTTATACACAGTAAGTTTAATATGTCGAACAATGTTGCCTTATCCAACTTCGTATAATAGGGGCGTCTCTGCAAATTGAAACGTCAAACTCTTCTGAGCCTCCGGACCAGCGGCTTCCCCGAGCTGAAAGTTCCGTGACCGCTTCAGGCCGTGACGTTGTTCCGCTTCGACTCCCACTTTGCCGCCTTCCGGTGCACGGACCTGGTGATCCGCATGGTGGACGTCCTGGTGACCAAGCCCTCAGAGTTGGCCTTCTTCCCCGTCGGGGGTCCTGGAGCTCGAACGGAGGACGGGTGACACGGAGGACGGGCGGCTCAAGTGGGCGTGGCAAATGGAAACGGGTAGCTGGAGCATAGGGGGAGATGCAAAGGAGCATGAGAGCCGATGGAGATGATGTGAGCTGGATCTAGAAGAGCACAGCTTAACAGTTGACACACTTAGTGATGAGGTGACAAGAGGCGCGACTAGGTTTCACTGGGAGGATCCCCATTCTCCGCACTGTTATATATAGTTGTTGTTCCCTGAAAAGCCTGAAAAGTGCCTACACTACACCAAAACTCCAATCAAAAGGGCCATTGGCCGTCTGAAAACTGGCAGGGTGTTTCAGCTTTGGAATGTGCGGACGAGGAATTTTCGGAGCCAAAGGCTTCTTTTGCTACTAATTGTAATTTGATTCTAATAGCAAACATTGTTACTACTAGTAAGGCCCTTGTTACTAGAAGCGATGCACTTGTTCGTAGCTTCTTTTGCTGAGGTGCCAAAGCTTCACATCCGTCGAGTTGGGGCCCATGAGGCTCACAGTGCCGTGCGAGCACAAGAGCTCGGTGATGGCACGGTGGAATGCCGAGAGGCCCATCTGATGGCATTCTCAGCTCACTTTGAGAAGAGTCTGAAGTTAAAGCACAACCAACTGGTCCTGTCAAAGCAACTGTTTGATTGATTTGAATTGGACAGTTTCAACACCCTGTGCCATGTAAGTTGAGAAAACCAAGAGAGAAACATGCAGAATGTGTCCAACTTGAGGAACAAAAAGAAGAACTTGTTCGCGCTATGATCCCAACACGATGCCCCGTCCAATCCTTGACAGCTTGGGAGGTGAGCCATGCAGTATCCAAATTGCATCAGCTGATTGAGCCAGATTCAGCGCTCTTCCGCCTCATGAATGACTGCATTATCAAGGCCAACATCTCGGAATAATATAAGAGTATGAAACATTATTGAACTAATGGAATTACTTTGACATGCTGTTTGCAGTGCTTTTTGCATAGACAGCTGGTTGCTTCTTATAATAGTTTCTCTCGCTAGAGTGTCAACGTTATCTCAACGCCACGTAGGCAGCAGAGACAAACGTCTATGACGGCAGCAAAGTGGCATGTGAGATTGCATTTGGTTTGAATGAGAAGACAGCTGAAAAGACTGGGAAGAAGACTGAACTGATTCCCAAGGAGGCAAAGGAGAAGGTTTTGGTAGCAGCTTGACGCTGTTTACAGCGCTCAGCATGATCAAGCTAACGGGCTCAACATTGATTGAGTCAATCTGCTTGTTTTGCTGTCTATTGATTTTTAAGCATGGACCCTACGTGCAGCTTGTGCCTGTGGAATCAGAAATACACACATTTTAATATGCTATCCGGAGTGCTTGTTGATTGTAGGAGCTTTTTGCAGCATATGCGGCCTAATTTTGGAAGAATATGTCATATCAGTTCGATAAGCCTGCCGCGCAGCAATCAGTTCTTTTTCGAATTTGGTGTCTTCAGTGTCTTCTTTTAAAGCAGACAGGCACAAGGGTAGAGGAAGGAGATTGCACTCTTGGCTTTTGCCCGCAACAAGGACATTTCCCCCCAAGGTTTAGGAGAGAACAGCTCTCCCTGCTCTCTGGAAGGACAAGCTTGATTAAGACACATTGTTGCCGAGTAAATATGGTGCGATAGGTCTTTGTATTGGTGGTCAGCAAGCTGACTGCTTCATAAGACTGTCCACGCAGCCAGACCACCAACTTGTTTTGTGCATTCTAACGTATTAATAATGAACATTTATGAACCAATGCCATCCTTATGATGGGCTTGTGGGTTGTGTCAGAAGACTGTGCGCAAACAAGACCGCCGCTTATACATTGACCAAAGATCGTCCAGGTTCCAGATACTTCCTTTCTTGACTCCCAACAGGTACATGATAATCTTTGGGGGAAAGCATCCCTTTCTGAACAAGCGAAACGAGCTGGATCAGAAGCTGATGCCCGGAACATAGCTGAAAACTTGTGGTGAAGGGAGTAAAGTCATCAAAACTTAACATGTTGTGATGGATTTGATATGATGATGGAATCAATTGGACGTCTCAGGCTGGAAGGTCGTTTAGACTTTACTGACACCTCCAGCGTTGCAGCACAGGGCTTAGGGCTGTTCGGCCCGGAGCCTTGGCTGAGCGTGTGGCTGGGCGCGTAGCGCACGGTCGGACTCGCCGCCGACTGGACTTGCCGTCGAGGCTTGGGGGAGACGATTCAGAAGTTCTCGGAGACTGCCAGGAGACGCCCGGGGAATGGGAGCAACTGCGGACAGGGAAGAAAAGGAGAACCGTTGTTTGTGTTGTTTTCTTCAGGAAAAGGAGAGAAAACGAAGGATCGACGGTGTATTTGAAGAAGGTCCTCATGACAGATGTACATTGAACAGCCTTGAGACGCACGCAGGAACTTCTGCAAGCAGCTTGTGGGGTCTCCCAGGATCGTGCGAAGGTCGAACAGTGAAACAGCAAGCTAAGCTCGGGTATGACTCGGTATGACAGAACAACACTCGGTATGTTGTTCATTTTGTGTTTTAATATGATATGATATGGCAGAATGGCTTGCTGAGGTTCAAGTGAACCCTGCCTCCCGAATGACTGCGAGCAATGCTCTCAGGCACTCTCATTTGGGCCGGTTCTGACATTTCACGAGCTTAGCTTTTCCCTTTGCTTTTCCCTTTGTTTTCAATTTCTTGGTGCACTTGGAGGATCAATGTAACTGGCATATGCGCTCCGGGGGGTGTGCTAGTGTACTTGTTTCTTGATTGCCTTCACTTTAAACGTTCAAACCCGGATCAGAGCTGGTGGTGTTTCTATCTTTCTTTTTGCAGCCGTTTCGGTGTCAGCTCTTTCTTTTGACCAGGGTGCCTTGGCTGAACTCCGGAAGGCGGGCCGGTCTTGACTCAACGTTCGAATTGCCGTGGGAAACACCGGTTCACCGCCCTGCGATCACACGGACACCTGCGGGAGCCTTCGGCGACACGTCGGAGAGATCGACTGATTGAGGCGTTTCGCCGAGCAACAGAGAAGGCAATCCGAGAAATCAGGTGCGTTTCAGTTGCAAGCGAGACCTTTAGATGCAATATTTAAGTTGAGCGAAATCAGGTGCTTGGTTGCTTGGTTTGTTCCACGCAAGCTGAAGACTTCAAAATCTCTAGAATTATACAAGTGTTGCGCGACTGGTTTCCTAGCTTCTTGTTGTGTATTGATTCTTGCTGGACATGCAAGCTCTTCACAAAATAAGGCAAGCGATGCTAGCTGTTTACAAAGTTAGGAAGCTTCGCGTTGTTCGCAAGCTATTTTTGAGCAATAGCAGTTTCGAAGTGACTGCCCGGGATCTTGTTTGGCGTTCGTGCAACGATTGCAACCACCCACGGAACGGGTAGCCATGAGCTATCGGGATGCCATGTTTGAGAAGGCATCGCTTCCATCCCAGGTACACCAAGAAATGCGGGCACTCCAACTGGTACTCCCAGAAATGGTGGCACTCCAAGGAATGCTGGCACTCCAAGGAATGCTGGCACTCCAAGGAATGCTGGCACTCCAAGGAATGGCACTCCTAGAGGTGGCACTCCAAGAAAAGGTGGTACTCCAAGAAATGCCGAGGTTCGCCCGGCACGCTTGCTTGTTGTTCCAATCTTTATTTTTATACTGTAGTTAAATTGGAAAACCTATTAATTCAGGCTTTGCTTGCTACAATTTTGATCACAAGTATGCAAGTGGAATTAACATTGCCAATGACATGTTTCAACCAATTGATGGCATTGATAAGTCACAAGTCAAGAAGAAATACCGAGCAACAGTGACAGCATGCATGTCTGTGTTTCTATTCCGAGTTGAGCAGCTTCCATGCTCGACTCTCATTACATATGCAAGGGAATACTTGTGACACGTTGACTTTGTTCTTTGGACATGAGCCAGGCCACCGCGCCAGGTGCCAAGGGGTGCCTCTCAAAGTGCTCAGGGCTTGTGACTTGTGAAAGCTATTTTCTTGAATGTTCATTTTTTCTTTTAAACTGACTGGCAGATTGCAGGAAGTACATCCCACTCCACAGTGGAGGGTGCTGGCACAAACTCTGACTCTAACATGTCAAGGAGAGGATCATTCATACTTTACAAATGCTCGTCCTCAACTACTCAAAGTTGATTTAGTTTTTCCGAAACATGTTGTTACTTTGTGTGTTGGGTTGTTTTGTCACATTTTGGCGGGAGAGATGCACATCAAAGAAGATGATGCAGTGGATTGAACTGCTTTCAGAGTCCGGGTTGAACATGTTCATTATAGTCGTGAAATACACTTCAGATGCAATGCTCAATGCACGTTTGCCGCTTGATGCTTCATTGCTAGCGTTTTCTCTTTCTTGGACAACTTGTTACTAGTAACGATGCCCTTGTTACTAGTAGCTTCTAGCTACTAGTAGTAGTGCACTTGTTACAAGTAGCGATGCCCTAGTGGTGAAATACACTTCAGATGCAATGCACGTTTGCTAGTAGCTTGGTGCTTCATTGCTCATGATTGCGTGAATGTTGTTTGATTGTTCGCAATGCCCTTCAAGACAGTTCTTTACCTAGACCCAAACTAGTAAACTATGCTTTCAGAACGTTTGCTCGGCTACCCAATACAATTGTTCTGACAGATGGATCCTTCTGCCTTGCTATGATACTTTAGGCCTGGCGGCGGTGGTGCTCCTGGCTTTGGGTATCCACAGGTGCATCCCAGCCAAGCTGATGCGCACCCGAACATCACAGAGCTTGGGACATGTGGTATCAGAAATCCTTTGCAACCCACCTTTTTAAGACGAATCCATCATTTATGGCTTGGTGTTGCAATTGAACCTGCAGCATTCATTTGTAAAGGTTTCTGTTGAAGTATGTAACGAACATGATTGATACTAGTTGCATGGCATGACATTCTTATAGTTCTCCAAATGCAGTGACCTGGGATTTGAACACAGGCCGATGACAAAGCAAAACAATTGGAGCCGGGAAGCCAGATGCGACAGGTTCACCGTGCTTCAACAAGTGCAGCATGGGGTTTGCTGAACTGGCTGCAACTCCTGAAACATGTTCTTGGGGGTGATTTATCCCTCAATATTTTTTGTTTTAGATAATCAGCGATTATAAACATTGTTCCGTTGTGGTAAGATGTTTCAAGGTAATTTGTTCAATTAGGTGCTGTCTAGTTTGGCTATACAGATTGTGATGCACAGTGACTATAACAATACCAGGTTGTAGGTGTATTTGTGTGTGAATTATCAGGTTATTATAGTTGCATTTGTGTGCGAATCCGATTCCGATGCTGTCAAAAGAACCACCAGAAGCAGCTTGTCCATGACTGCTGTAGGATATGGAGAAAGTGCAAATCAGTACAGACGAAAGTACGAAAGCAGTACTGAAGTTTTGTTCAAGAGAGTCTCTTTCAGTGCAATGGACATGCAAATACAGGAGCTCTTGTATTCTAATTAATTGTACTATTGTACTGTAAACATGGAGGTCAGGTATGCAGGCTTAGATGCAAACACATCAAGCACACCAATGAGATGGCAGATTTACGTTGGTTTCCTTTAGTGTTAGCATTTGAAGATCCGAAATGCCCCCAGCTGCCCATGTTACTGATGCCAAGGCTGGAGAAGCTTCAAAAGAGAGTAAATGAATTAGAAGCTCGAGAAAGAGAGCAAAAAAAGAATGACGAAGAAGCTCAGGCTCAGGACAGGAGAAACACTTGAGCCGCCTGAGCAGTTGATTGGTATGAAGAGTATTGGTGCTCATGTATGCTGGCATCCGATGTAGCAAATATATAGATAGATGATAGATAGATATAGATATCACTTTTCATAGAACAATGCTAAGTACCTTTGGCCACCCAAAACCTCATTGACTCAAGTGCACAAAGCGATGGCAGTCACATGCGGGCGGCTGCATGTGACATGTGTTTCTCCAGCCCATCTCAGCTTTCGGGGCAGGCTAGGAAACAAGCGCAAGCAAAAAGTTTTCGAACTCAGCGGACGAGGGTGTGGCGCTTGGAGGGTTGTAGGGGTGTCTTTTTTGTACAAGTGTCCACTGTGTATTGTATCATGATGTAATTTAATCATACTTTGATGTGTTTGACGGGTTTCAGAGTAATTAATTGGAAAAGAGGCTTTTGTTAGTGTTGGCTTGCACAATTTGTTTCTTCTTTAGGCTGGTCCATGGCCGCTATCCGAGGTGACCGAAATGAACCCTCCAGTCTCTGCTGATGTGTCGCCAGCGACGCTAATGCCAGGGCCACCACGGCTATTGGTAGCAGGAGGGGTGTTGCCTCATTTTAAGCTTCTGTGACCTTCCTCCTCATGAGCTGCATAGCTTGCCAAATGATCTTTAGACTAGCTTAGCATGATCTAGCATGCAGTTTGCAGGAACCAGGTGTCGCTACGAGCCCACTTCGCCTGATGCTCAGGGGCCCCATTTCACACGATACAATCCCCAAAAGCCGCAGAGAGAGAGTCCGCGGTCGCCGCCAGGCCGCGCTAAGCCCCGCTCAGCCCGCTCGGCCTTGGGTCCTTTCAGTGACTACCCCTTGTCCCCCCTCTCTGCACGAAGGCTTCAGTGACTAACCCTGGTTCCATCGGGTTCCTTTTTTTTGCAAGATCTGAGGTCAAGCAAGTTTCCCTTCATCCCTGCCGTGGTGCAGGGCTTCAATGATCTTGACTGTCCCCTGGGCCTTAATTTTTTCAGAGCAAGCTGACAGGATTGCGAGCTTTCAGGGAAGGGTAGAGTCAGAGCAACAAATCAAATATTTTTTATATGTCTCCTCTATATAAATAACAATAATTAAATAACAATGCTGGCCCTCAAATGATTCAGAATGAGCCTTAAACTTAGGCGTGTGAACTTTGCCTATTCCCTGGACACTCTAATTCCATGCACTTCATGTCTCCTCTTTCAAGCTGAATCTGTGCATTGCAGCCAGTAGCAGGGACTTGTTTTGCATGTTTGGCTCCCAGTGGGCAGAAGCCCTGCTGCCCTTCCCGCCAACCGAAATTCATGCCAGAGTATAGTACAAGCAAGCACGCAAGCAATATTGCTTTCCAGATGTTTTCAAGGTCACAGAGTGTCTACAATTTAGGAGAGCACACCATCTCAGAGTGATCCAGGTGTCTGACACTGAGGGTTAAATGCTGCAGCAGTCCCATGGATTTCCTTCGGCCGCTTTTCTTCATTTTGCCTCTCATCTTAGCTGAGGCCTGTCTTGTGTTTTGTTGGGTACGGTACGGTAGGCCTTTTCATTGCCTCGGGGCCTCTGGTTTTTTTCCTACGATCTAGACACCTGGACCTGAGCAGCATGTGTTGAAAGAAAATGGCTTTAGGACTTAGAAATTTTTCCTTGATGCATTTAGGTTCCTGTTTCTATTCTTGGTGCTGATGTCCCGTTACTTTGTCCGACCACTGCCCAATGCTCCTTGCGATGCTTTCTTTCTTTTGTGCGAGTGCATGCTTGGGTTCCTTTTGGTGTCCACGAAAGATGTTAAGATATGTTGAGTGTTGAAGTTTGCAGACATTCCCTCCAACATCGAAGATCTGTGAAGTCCACGCGTGTCTCACGTAAGCATGCAGCTGGAGTGCCAGTTGGAGAATCCTTCACCCACGCCATTGCGTGTGCGTGGCAACCTTGATCGGGCGCGAGAACTGCAACGTATTGCTGCAAAGGTGGCTGGGAAAAGTCCTGCCAGTGAACAAATAATGACAGTGTCAAAGGCAAGTGCCAAGATTGATTGAGATCCTAAAGGCTGATGTGGATTTGAGTTTTCAAGGTTGATAGCCTTAAAGGAGTATTCAAGAGTCTTGAGAATGCACGAGGAGAGGGAGAGAGAGAGAGAGAGAGAGTTTTTGAGAGTTTGACAAATTGTCTAATTGTGACTCATGGCTGGAAGATTCACACCAAGGTGGAGGGGTTGGGTTTGCCAGGTGAATAGAGAAACAACCTTGCCGGATCTCGTACTTGCCTTGACGCGTTTCTTGGCACTGGGAAGGCCTATGAAGGAGCCAGCTTTGATCAGAGAGCACCCCTTGTTGGATTTGAGGAGTGTGATTCTCAAATTGTCACTTGTGAAGGGAATCCAGAGTATTTGTGGGCGTAGATTGGAAGGATTCATGTGGGGTTCTTACATACCCTTGCGGCTGTGGGCTGTGGGTCAATGTTTCTGTATTGAATTGAACATGTTCTTTGACCCTTTAAGTATTCACAAGCTGAACTTGTTTATCGGAAACTTGTTACATATCTTAATGAGACTTGAACGAATACAATAGTTCCTTCCAGCTCCTGATCATGGCTGCCATGGCAGTTCAAGCTCTGACGGTAGAGATATACTCCCTTGGCAACATTTTCTATTAGCTACATGCATTGTGCTGCAACATGAAGCTTGCCAACTTGCAGGGGCACCAAACCTCAATCTATGAATGTTCCTTGATCAGGTTCATCGGGTGTACTGGCTTGTTGCAAGATCCACCCAAACATGTGGATGCTGGGCCTAATTGCCTAATTGTATCTACACTATAATTGCACCATATCCCAACGCCGAAGACTCCCAGTTTTGTCCAGGTCTTGGGCTGGTTGAACCCAGCTTGACACCTGCTGAGCTTCCGAAATCATCAGATCCAGCAGCATTGCGCCAAGCTGCTGTTGAGGAGGCACGGAGGGTGTGTGAAAGTTTTGGAGGGATAGTTTCAAGAGTATGCATTTATCATGTTATTCACAGTGTTTGTTTGTCAATATGGACATGATTTGTAACAAAACGCCAAGTGGAACTACACTCTGGTGACATATGTGACATGTAGGTTGGACACCTAAGCTCAACATTTGCAACGCTACTCATGTCAGATCACTTGAGAGGCACTAGAGTCACTCATCCTGACCGAAGCTTGTTCTGGTCGAGCCTTTAAGGTCAAGAGACTGGAAGGTAGAGCCAACGAATTGGTGGATGCTTTGGCAGTGGAGCTTGATATAGCCGACACGCTGAAATCGTTGGTCAACAGGAGGGAGTCATTCATGCAACTGCTGCATGAACCTGTAAGCAATGGACGGCAGAAGTGGAAATACCTTGGAGTGGTTTATTTCGTGGACTTACGGGTTGGTCGGGAGTTAAGCTTTTTCAAGAAGTTAAGGTCCAACCCAGTTTTCATAGCATCAATTAAGGTGTTCCAACAACTAATCAGCTTCAAATGGTTTCAAATCATTAAGTAGTTTTGAAATATCCTAACATTTGAAAATATATCCGTTCCTTTGTCTACCCCTCCCCATCGGCCGCATTTAGTGCTGTGGACAGGCCCACTGGGCAACCTGTTCCATTGTATTTGGGAATATTCCCACATCCCAAGTGAAATTCTCGTTGTACCTGGTAGTAAAGATTTGATGGCTATTGAATTGGCCAATTGGAGAGCGCAGACACCTAGAATGATTTCAGAACAGCAAGCACACTGCTATTTGTAGCCTCCAGGGCCTAAACATTTTGACTTCAGCTTAAATAGTTTGATTCCAGCTTAATTCGTCGGAGTTCGTGAAAGGGCAGCTTTGGGCTGTGTTCAGCCAATGTCTTTACGTGAAAATTCAGAGGCGCAAGTGCAATTGTCATTTGAAAATACACCAAACTTGCTTGTTCAGAGCTATTTTCAGGTGGTGTTGGCCACACCAACAGCCAATTATCACGAGCAAAAACTTGAAAAACACAAGAAATTTAAGAGTTTTAAGGCCAAGTTCGTCGGAGTTCGTCGGAACTCCACTTTAAGCCCGACTTAGATAGGACTCACACTCCCCTGATTTAGATATATTTTGATAGGTAGTAGGAACCCAGGGAAGTTTGCACGGAAGTCTTGGAAGACCTTTACAAATTGAAATTCTGTCTTGAGAGTATTGTAGTGAGTCCCTCCGTCCAGAGCAAACATATGGCCTCGAAGGATCTGGCTTTTACTGCTCACTCAATGCAGAACATTTAGCGGCAGACCACGTTTGACTCACCTGGATGGATCCTTTCCTGTAGGATACCCGTAACTTGTAAAGCTTTAAGTATTCCCAAGCGGAAATTGATGTCCAGCTCCCCAAAAGCCTTATTTCTGTCACGCAAATGTGGTCCACTGCTTAAAGTTCTGAAAACCCTTAAGTTCCGACGAACTCAGAATCCACGAAATAAATCACCTCGGAGTGCATCAAACTATGATACTTCCAGATTCGATGATTCCATTAGCAACTTCAATCCCACGAATCAAACGCTCAACACGACCCCAGTTGCTTTGCTTGTTCTTTTGCATGTTCAACCCAGTCAACACCAATCACCTACGATGCACAATGGTGTTAGCCGTTGCAGTTATATATTCCTTACCCATTGGCTTTTCTGCCTTTGTTTGACGCACGTAAGTGTTTCGAGAAATGCAGTATTGCCACGTTTGCCGTGGTGCAGGAGTCGGTATGTGGCGAACATCACTGGCCGTGCTGGACCATGTCGAAAGAGAGCTAGGGCGCTGACATGGTTGGAGCAGATGCGGTCGAAGCTGCCAGCAAGTGAGCATGAAAAGAGTAAGTTGCACAAGCTGCTGAAAACCATGAAGCTTGGGCCTGTTTGCTTGCACTTTCAGACGTGGTGAGTGTTTGGGTTTCAATTGCTGTAAGATGGATTTGGTAAGTCTTACCCATCCTCCAGCAGCCAAGCATCTACACCATGTTCCGTTCCGCCTCAGGAAGCCACACCTGAAGCGGTAGCTTGGCGCGAAAGTGTACACGTGTTTCACCGTGTTTCTTGGATCAACTGCAGTTGGTGTAAGTAACCCTGACAGGATACAAGAGGAGGCTATGATGGGTGAGCTTGCTCACAACACTACTTTGAATCTCTGGAGAGAATCAAAAGAGCTGGAGCAAAGGCAGAGGATAGAGCAGCTAGGCTTGCTATTATTGTTTTTGTCACAGCTGGGCCGTGCGGGCAGTGCTGGTGTTACAGTGACTCACAAAGGTTTCATAGCTGCCTGTGACGCCTCGGCAAAAGCTGACTTTCGATCATGTTCATCCAAGAGCTGCAATACATTTTCTTGCCAACATAGGGCCAACACATGGTCTGCTCAGTCTGCTCCTTATTTCTTTATGGTGCTCAATGTGGGGGTTTCAGCTTCGGCTCTTCCTGATTGTAGCAAGACACAGACGCATTCTTCCGGGCATGCACACATAGACCACGTCACGACTGTACCAAGACACGGGCGAAAGACGGCTTCTCAAAAATCTTACAAAGAGCGTGGCTAGGCTCCGAGATCCTCCATTTAAGAAGTTATTTTGAATGTTGATCATTCTATTAGCTTTTCTTGAGCTACAACTTCGACTACGGGATCCTGCCAACACATTATCTTCTCTGCATTAATATACCAGAGATTCAAAGAACCTTCAACAAAGCATTTCAATCAGCCTTTCCAAGAACCGATGCAACGCTGTCCAGAGGTCCAACAAGCACTCAACGGCTGGCCTCAGGTTCGAAAGCGCTTTGCAAGCACTGAACCATCTCAACATCTTGGTGAAGGAAGGGGCCAAAATACAGCCTGGAGCACCGGTGAAGTTCAACCTGGACATGTTTACATATGCTTAGGATGCATTGACCCTTGAACCATGCACTGACCAACAGACTTATTCCTTGTGCACACTTAGTATCCCTGCAGGAAAGAACAAGCAAACTGCAGT